TGTGTTCTCTCTGTTCAAATTAGTTAACTTCTATTTCCTATCTTCATATTTGCCATAGGCTGCTGAGCCCATTCATTGCATTCTTAAATTGTGGCTATTGTGTTGTTCAGTTCTAAGATTTCCATTTGGGGTTTCTTCATATCTTCTATGTCTTTGCTGAGACATTCTATTTTTTTCACTTGTTTTAAGTGTGTTTGTAATTATAATTTCTCATTGTGTTTTCTTGTTGGAATAGTTTTATGGAGGGATGTCTTAAAATCCTTGTCAAGGATTCAAATCTCTGTCATATTGGTGTTGGCATTTGTTGGTTGCCTTTTGTCATTGAAGTTGAGATTTTTTCTGGCTTCAGTCCAAGTAATATTAAAAAATTGACATTTGGGGTACTGCATTAGGGGATTATGGGTCCTATCTAAATTTGGATATTATGCTGCCAGGGGAAAGGCAGCATGTCTCTATTACCAAAATCCACGTTACCCACAATGCTGCATTTGGTACCGTGGGAGAGCTACTTCATTGCTGCTGGGTACAGATGGGATTTCAGGCTTCCTTTGGGGTCTCACTTACTATGGGGTGGTGGCTTCACTATTGCTGAATGGTGATGAATGCTTTGATTCATCTTTGGGCTTTCTCTGAAGAAAGGGGTGGGGTGCCTTGTCCTTGCCAGGGTGAGATGGAAGTCCTGGTTCCCTGCTTGATCTTGAATGATACCATCCTGGCATGGAGAAGGGGGAGAGGCTTCATAATAGATGGGCAAGGACTGATGGAGATGGAGAGGTGGGGACTGGATATTTTTTTCTATGGTGTCTGGCTGGAGTAGGGCTATTATTTCCTAAATGTTTTTTTTTTTGTGTGTGTTGCTAGATCGTGCCTTTTCTGGATATTTGGCACGAGAGAGCTGACCTTTGTTGGGGAATTTTTAATCTGTTCCCATTAGTATTTCTGAATTATTGACTTTCTTAATATCTGGTTTGGGATACATGGGATATAAAGAAAAGTTAGAGAATACACTACTATGTCTTATCATGGGACCTGTGTGCCCAGCCCTTCTGATTCCTTGGCTGTATCTTTCAGAGTATTTGATATATCTGTATCTATATCTATCCCATGGTTTTTAGTTGTACTTAATGAGAGTAATAGGGAGGAATGTTAACTTGCTTGTTGGTCTGGACTCTACGTTTTTGGCAATTATTCATTTTTTCCATTCTGCTTCATAATGTGGATATATTGATTTGCCACATCATAGAATACTACAAGTAACTTGCACAATAAACATAAAAAGGCAAGCAATGGGGTTTACCAGATATACTTCTTATCTATAAAAAATAGGCCTTAACACCCCATCATAAGAAAGCAGGCTAAGTGAAATAAAACCCAAAGTATTTTAATATGCGGACATAATATATATGCATTGTATATTTATTTATTAATTAATTTTTAAAAAGGAATGATAACTCTACAGATTTGAGCAGGGATGTTCATAGAAGTTATTTCTGTAAGATCCCCAAACTGGAAACAACCCAAATGCCATTCATCTAGTGGAAGAATAAATAAAATAAAGCTATTCAATGAAGTACTGTTTGACAATAGCCGGGAATGGAGTACTGATATGTGCTACAACACGAATAAACTAAAAAACATTGTGCTAAATAAAAGAAGGCAGCCAGGAGAGACATATTAAATAATTCCACTTACATAAAAATGTTCAAATAGACAAATCCATAGGATCACCAAGTAGATTCCTGGTTGTCTAGGGCTAGTGCAGGAGTGGTGGGATGGGCACAAAGTTTCTTTCTGGAGTGTTCTAAAATTAGAATGTTCTAAATGTTCTATTGTAAATTGGATTATTGTGCTTGGAATAACTCTGTGAACATAATGAAAACCACTGAGCCATCCACAGGTTAATTTTTTGGCACCTAAATCACATATCACTAAGTTGTTTGAAATAATAGACGATCATGGTGGAAGACTGAATTTAAGGAAGCATCGAGGAGCCAGCCCACTCTGCCCTCTCTCAGCCTGGTACTGGCTTGTGCCTGACTAACCATAGGTTGAGTGACCTGGCTGAAAGAGCGGCATGAGATGGTTTTGCACACACACAGACCACGAAACAATGTCTTTTTTTTTTTTTTTTTGCATTTATTTGTTCCACATGGCAAACAACAACAATAAAAGTAGGAAGAGCAGGGGGGAATCTAGTGAAAACTAGAATAAGTCTTAGATATGTTTACTGTAATAATGACAACAGACTTGTAGTCTCAGTCTCGGCCAGTTCTGTCTTCCTTTCAAGAAACATTTCATACTCCAGCCTTCTGGTTTGTGAAGTGGATTTGAGCTAAGTTTGCCTCCCTTCCAGCTCTGGGCATCATGAGGACAGTGGCTGGGGCAGCCTTTACTGTGCCATAAAAGACAGGATCTGTGGAAGGAAGAGATCAGGATCTTTTGTTTGGTTTCTGAGGTCTCTTACCTGCAGACAGGCATGCTGAGGATTGGGAGAGGCCATTGTGGGTGAGAGATGCCCAGATTCAGGAGCACTGGAAATAGGCATTAAGCCGTGATCGATGGATTCCAGAGAAAATCAGAGTATAGGTCAATAAATGGGCCCATCTTTTCCAATCATAGCAGATTGGTGCTGTGCAGTGTGAGCCAGGATCTTAGGTCACTAAGTCAAAGAGGGACACATAAGAGAAAGCCACCTTGATATGCCTCTCTGCACCCCTTCCTGCTACTTGGAAAGAACTTCTCTGTAGTCCCTTCTAAGACATATAACTTTATTATGCATTTGGATCCCATATCTGTTATCCACTCAGGACACAGCTCTAGCAATTTCCCCTTTTCTCACCTGCAGCACCAAATCTTCCCCATGGACTGGATCATTCCTGATATTAAACAGGAAGCCAACAAACCCAAATCATCAAAAACATGCTCTCCACGTACTGCTTCCAATCCATTTCTAGTTTGCTTTTATCTATATCCCCACTGTTCCACCACAACTGGTTTTGTCAAATTACAGATAAAATTGGCATTGGGGAAGCTCATGCTTAATTCTTAGGACTCCTCTTACTTGCCATGTTGGTACCATCTGACACAGTTCATTGCTTTCTTTTTGAAACACTTGCTTCCTGTGGCTTCCAGAATACCACTGTTGATATACCTTTCACTCACCTTCTCCTTTGCTGGTTCCTCCTTAACTCTGTGACTGTTATACTTTGGAGTGCCCTGGCCTTTGAGAACAATCCTCTTCTGCATTTTACACTCACTTCTTAGAAGTTCTCATCCAGATTCATCCAAACTTTTAATATTGTTGTTGTTTTAATATGGTGTCCCCACCAAACACTCATGTTGAAGTGCTGGGGTCTTTAAGAGAAATACATGCTTTTCCTAGAAAAGTGAGTTTTTGCTCTTGGGGGGTGGAGCAGATTGGTTATAAAGCAAGCCTGGTATTTCTTAATCTTTCTCTCTCACATGCATGGTCTTCTGCATAGGTCTATGTTTTCTTTCTGCTTTTTCATGAATTGAGCTGCCTTGAGTTCCTCACCAGAAGCTGAGAAGATGCTAGCAATGTGCTTTTGAACTTCCCTGACTCCGAAAGTGTGAGCCAAAATAAATTTCTTTCATTTATAAAGTACTAAAATATTTTATTATAGTAACAGAAAACAGTCTGAGACCAATACCAATACTCTGTCAAAGAATCCCACATTTATCCCTTTGTCTTGACATTCTAGTCTATGTAAATCCAACTGCTTACTTAGTATTTCTATATGGATGCCCAATTGCTTTGCAAGATGATGTTCACTGCCTGCACTGTTATTCCTAGGGACTTCTCCATCTGAATAATTAGCAACTCCATTCTTTCCATTGCTATGGACAAAAATCTCATCCTCCTTGACAGATTCTTTTACTCTCATTCCCCACACCCTGTCCTTATCCAATCTACGTCTATGCTGTCTGCTAATGGTGTGAAATCACAAAGAAAATGTTCAGAATCTGTTTCCACCCTTTTCACAGCAGCTAATCTTGGTCTGAGTCATCCTCATTCTTGTTTGGATTATTACAACACTCTCCTAATTGTTCTAACCATATATATTTTTAACAATCTAATCTAATCTTAGTCTCCTTTCATTTCAATTCAAAGAACTCCTTTTTTTAGCATTTTGAGCAAGGCAAGCTGGTGGAAACAAACTCCCTGAGCTTTTGCTTATTTGGGAATATCTTAATTTCCCCCTCATTTTTGAGGACGTTTTTACCAGATGTAGAAATCTTAGTTGACATTTTTTTTTCCTCTAGCATTTTGAACAAATCATCCCACACCTTCTGGACTTCAAGGTTTCTGATGAGAAATTGGCTGATGATCATATGGAGGTTCCCATGTACTTGACAAATTGCTTTTCTCTTGCTGAGTTTGAGTTTCTTTTTATTAATCATTGTCTCAATACATTTGAGGTCCTCGTACCTGTAGTTCATTGAGCTTCTAAAATTTGTAGATTTATATTGTTTTATCAAATATGGGAAAATTTAAGCTATTCTTTCTTTTTTTTTTTTTGTTACCAGGGGTTGAACCCAGGGGTACTAAACCACTGAGGCCCATTTCCAGGCCTTTTTATATTTTATTTTGGAACTGGCTCTCACTGTCTTAAGGCCTCACTAGGTTGCCGAGGCTGGCCTTGAACTTGTGATCCTGCTGCCTCAGCCTCCTGAGTCGCTGGGATTACAGGCATGCATTGCCATGGCTAGCCAGCTATTGTTTCTTTCTCCTTTAAAAAAATTTTTTTTTTGTAGTTGTAGATGGACAGCATGCCTTTATTTTATTTGTTTTATTTTTATGTGGTGCTGAGGATGGAACCCAGTGCCTCACCTGTACAAGGCAAGTGCTCTGCCACTGAGCTACAGCCCCAGCCCCCTATTATTTCTTTAAAGAAGTTCTCTTTTTTCCTTCCTCTCTTCTTCTTGAATACCCATAATGCATATGTTGCAACTTGACAGTGCCCTACGTGCCCCTTAAACTACATTCACTTTTCTTCAATCTTTTTTCTTTTTGTTCCTCAAAATCAAAAATTTTAATTGTCTATCTTCAAGTTATACTGATTCTTTTTTTTTTCTTTCTACTTATTTTTGAATTCCTCTAGTGCAATTTTCATGTCAGTTTTTGTACTTTCAGCTCCAGAATTTCTTTTTTGGCTCCTTTTTATATTTCCTGTATTTATTGATATTGTTATTTTGTTCCTACATCATTTTCCTCTCTTGTCTGTGCTGTTATTTATTTTGTTCCTTCAGTAGGATATACTTTTCCGGTTCTTTGTGTATGTGCATGCATGTGTTTTTTAAAAACTGTATATTTGAATCTTACAATGTGGTAACTGTAGAAAGCAGATTCTCTCCCTTCCTCATGGTTTTCTTTTCTTTTTTGTTTTATGAGATATTGCTCTACCAGCCTGCAGTGAAAGTTTAAAAATATCACGTGGTTTTAGAGCTCATGTTGTTCCCTGGGCCTATGAAGTAATTTTTTTCCTACTGTATATACAGCACTTTTCATGACCTTTATCTTTAAATGTTTTATTCCCCAAAGGGAAAATGGGTTCAAAAAAGGAGAAACCCCTTTCCATGTGCTGTGCCTTTATATTTCCCGGGGATTCTGAGAGTAACTGCCACCTGTGTATGTACCTCTGCAATCAGAAGTATTAATTAGGAATCAGAACACAGAATCTCAATATTGGGAGAACAACATCTTTTATTTCCACATAGAGACCCACATGAAACTGTCGGTCACGGGGCTGGGGTTAAGGGATAGGTAGCTACTATAATGCTAATGGCTGAAATAAAAAGAGATTTATTGTAATTTATCAGGCAAGCTTTTCCCTGGAAGCTTCAAATATTCAAATTGATTTCAGAGTTCCAAAAGAGTAACTTCATGGAGTTCCTGGGAGTGCAATGACTACTGGAGAGATGGATTCCTGGGACCTCCAACTCTTGCTGTCTTCCCTCTGGTCTACCTGTGTTTTTAAAGTTAGTTTTTATCACACAGCAGAAGGGATTCTTTGAAATGCAAATCAGATCATTACTTCTTTTCTGAAAACCCTACTTTGGATTCTCATTTTACTTGAAGTTAAAGCCCAAGTCTTTACAAGGCCCATATAATTTGTTCTAGTCACACTGACTTTATGATTTCTCAAATATTTCAAATACTGCCCCCAGGATCCTGGATTCAGGATCTTTGCACTTGTTCTACCTACCAGGAACACTCTACTCTCAAATATCTGTATTTGATTTCTTCTCACTGTTTTTAGATCTCTTCTGATGTTACTTTCCCAATCAGGTCTTCCCTGACCTCCACCACAACCACTCCTAGTTTACCTCATTTTTCTCCACAGCATTTGATACTGTTTCACATACTATAGACTTATTGGCTAATAGTTCATCTTTGCTGGATAATGTAATTCCAAGAATGCAAGGATTTTTTTTTTTCTTGTGGTGTTTGTTGCTGTGTGTGACTGGACACACACATTCCCATAGCTGTTGAATGAGTGAATAAGGAAGGTTGTAGGAGAGCCTCCAAGACTAAAGGTGTGTGTTAATTTCAGGATCAAGGTAATCTGTACTATGGAGAATGGTTTCTAAAGCAGAAGTCACCCAGGTTCAACATCTAGCAATTTAATTTCATCATAACAGCCCACACACAGAACACCAAGTGGGTTGGGTACAAACAACAATGGGCGTATGTATTCCATGCTAATTACACAAACTAATTGTTGTTTCCTGAGAGGGTGTGATTTGTGCTCTGGGTTTCTTGAAACTGCCTGAAAAGGTAAATTGCCACCCCAACCAGCGTGGGCAACTGAATTAAGGTCTCTTGTGTAAATTTGTGGTGATGCAAAATAAAACACAGACACAATTTACCTTTACCTAAGCTTCAGGACAGCTTCCCCTTGGCTCAAGGCCTCAGGCTCCCCAAAAGGAAGAGCAAGAAAAATGTCAGAGAGGCTGATGAGAGAGAGAGAGAGAGAGAGAGAGAGAGAGAGAGAGAGAATGAGAGAGAGAGAGAGCACATTTGGAAGTCAGTTTTTATTGGGGGACACTGTTCTTAGAAAGTTCTATCCATAAATGGGCAGAAGAGGTAGGATTACAAGGGAGCAGGTGAGTGTTACTCAACTCCAGGGGCATGCCTACAAAGAAGATGGCCTTGCTATCTGAGCTGGGTCAATACCCAAGCCACCACGAATGTAGTGGTTGGTCAGGGCCTTGTGCTTCAGGACTGGAAAGCGTGGTCATTCAGAGCAGAGAGGCTCCCCACAGTAAACTGTAGCAGTTACAACAAGGCCTGCTCTTTATAGTGTTTAGATATCTATGGAACAGGCCAAAAATTATAGCAGAAGGGGTATTTTTGTTTTCTGCAACTGTGAAGACACAGGTTCATGTGCATAACTGAGTCATCTGTAATTCACAGTCTTCTTTTACAATTCTCTCTCTCTGTTTCTCTCTCTCTCCACACACACACACACACACACACACACACACACACACACCAGAATCATTTTCAGGAGAGCTAAATGACTAACCAGGGTCTGGACTGGCATGTTGTCCCAGGTCCCAGATGATGGCACTACCATGTGAAATAGCATGTGTTTGAAGACAACATTCTGGGGCACATATTTCAAAGTGATTTCTCTTCTCCAGAGGGCACTTATCATTTTTGTTGTTGTTGTTGTTGTTCACTACTGAGGCAGAAAGTCCAGTAAGAAACTAGATTAGGTGAAGCATCTTCAAAGCTGATTAGACCTCGAGTAGCCTTTAGAGGGATGATGTCATCTGGGATGTCATCTGGGGACTTCATGTGTGGCGAGTCCTGACATGTTTACATCCCACTGTGATGAAGCAGTGGTGGAAGAGTGCTGTGGGCAGAACAGGGTTCTGCTGAGCAGCCACACTGTTGACACTTACAGCCATGGTCTTTAGAATGACAACAACGTGGCACTGTCTAGAAGTGTCTAAATAAATATTAATAAAAAATCCCTAGGTTCTTTTCTTTTTTAATTACTACCAGGAGCAAATAGTGCCTCAGAATTACTTATTAACGAATGATAAAGTGTCAAACTATTTCATTTTTTAGCAGCATGATAGTTTTTCCTGTTTACCATAAATAAATGGGGCTTTAAGGTTGTCAGGAAGATTTGGAATGCATAGCATGCTAGGAGATGTCTTGTTTCTGGCTGTGGTCCCCTTAAGGTGAGTTCTGTCTGGTGATTAGCATCATCTTGGATTAAATTAATTGGCTATACTCAAGCCCTGGGTAGACACGCTAAGAATAAATCCAGAGATATTAGTTCCTATGCATGAAACAAGCAGTTTACATATCCAGTGAAATTTATGTGAACTACACAAACAACTTAACCTAGTCTTTTTCTTTTCCTCAAGCTCTGGTAAGTACAAAACTATTTGAAATATTTCTTTGGGTGAAAATTACCTCCTTTTTTTTTTTGCTAGTTTTATTTAATTTTTTATTTTATAATCTAAATTACATGTCTGTGTTTTGTCCTTAACCAGTAGAAAAAGTATAAATGTTCCTAATAATTATTGTCTTTTATTGCCAGCAACCTTTGCAATATGCTGATAGTGAAGAGAGAACTTCACTATTAGGAAATCAAGTGATTCTAGTTTATTCAAATATGAGTAAAGCTTATGTTTTTTTTTTTTGTCATTATAAAATCACTATAGACTCAGGGTAGAAATCTGTGAAATACATTAGAGAAAAAGGAAGCTGATTGTAATTCAACAGTACTGTGATTACCACAGTGAAGAACTGGTGTGTATATCTTTCTGAACCTCCTTTTCCTAAATCCCATCCAATAGAGTTTGAAAAGTTTGTGAAATGAACTATTTTTTCTTACATCAAGTCTCTGAATTGCCATAAGAATGAATATTTTGAATGTATCAGTTTTCTATTTTGTTTTCTGAATTGCCTGATTTTCTACTATGTGGAAGAAAATTATATTTAAATACCGTTCGTTAGTAAAATGGCATGTGAACTTTGTAGATCTTTATTTGTAGGTTAAGTGAGTATGAGAGCAAAGCCGTAGCCCTGTGAGTAGAGGCAGCTATTTTGTTCTGAGCTACATGGTCAAATACATTATTGATTGACACCCACCCACAAGAGCATAGACAATTATATTCATAGTTGAACACAATGAAATGAACAGTATTGGAAAATCTTAATCTTAAAAAGCAATGAAGTTATTCAGGATAGTTCCAGGGTATAACTTGAGGCAATGAAGAAACTCTGCAGAAAAGGGGGAAAGATATGGGTGGCAAGCAGTCACATCGTTAGCAACAGATTTTAATGTAAATTGGGCTGGAGGCAAGAGATTTTTTTATCAACCAGCTTCCTTGCTAGGAAGCAAGTGGTAAGAAAAGTGGAGGGCTGCAAGATTATAGTTTTCTGTTGTTACCCCTTTCCACCTCTAGTCTCCTTTAGTCTAAACTTTTGAGAAAAGAGTTTAAAGCATTTTAGGCTGCTTAAGTTGGTTTGTGCCCTAGGTAGTCATTAAGCATATTACTGTCTTATTCCAAGTTCAGATGGAAATACCTTGTCATAAAAATGTATGTGAAGAAAATTTACTTAATTCTCATTCAAATTCTGATTAGTTTTCAAAATTGATTAAGAAAGGAGCACAGTTAACACAGGATCATTTAAAATCATGGAGGATTGGTAACTCAGTTTCATAGAAAAGGGGATACTCGTCTGCCAAGACTCAGTGACCACATCACAGGGCTTACCCATATGTGCTGGCTAGATGATGCTCTATTTCTGCCTTCAGAACCTCGTAGGGCATCTCCAGCTCTCTTCGCATCAGCTTTACAAGGCTTTCCTCACTCCTACTTCCAACCCTTCAGGTGAGGTTAGACATCCCTCCTTGAATATTTCCTTGGTACTCTGGCTCATCCTCAGTTTTACTCTTCAATTACCATGTGAATGTCTTGTGGACTCCACGAGATGCCTATGATTATGTCAGAGCAAAAACTGATCCACTTCCTTGGGAAATAATTTGGTTTGAACCCTCTTCCCCAATGACAGCATCATGTACAGAAAGAACATAGCTTCTTTTATTCAACAATAATATTGAATAGTCATCATGTTCCATGTTTTACACCCAAAGCCCACCTTAACATGGGTTCTTAAGTCTTACATACATGTATGCAAAATCTCGATGCTGCCTAAAACTTCCCCGAGTGACTTCTAAGAGTTTCCAAAGATTTTTTTTTTTTTACATGTGATGAAGTCATGAGAATTGGTATTTTTTTTCCCTACAGTCTTCTTATCAAAGTGCTTGGCAACTGCCTTGCTATAGGCATTTTCTCTGCAAATGCTCCTCCACTGCTGGGCATGGGGTATCTTCCCAGGTCATGATGCCTTCAGCTCTTGCCTTTCATACATTGGGCTCAGAACCAGCTCAGGACCTGCAGCAGTGAAATAGGGACAATGGGGTTGCCTCTTGTCTCCTATTGCCCTTATCTTCTATGTTTTCCCTTGTGGTCCTGGTACAAAATCTCCTTTATCATATTTTAGACACAACCAAATAAACATAAAATCCTTCAAGAGCTTTAGCATATTGGATCACACAGATATGTTTCCAGAGTGGCCACCAGGTTAACAACTCTCCAAATAGTGAATATGGGCAGGACAATAGCAACACTAAAAGCCTCAAATAATAGGTAAATAGCATTTTCAAAATGAGGTGAAAATGGCATCTCAAATACTGTTCATGTAAAATATGTTCAAATAAACATTCAAATAAACCATCTTAAAAAGTAACAGGAGGCAAAGATTTCTTTATTTTTTTATTTAAATACTAAAATATTCATCCTTTAAAAATATTTTAAATCGATGCAATGGGACATTTAAATATGCATCCAACGTGTGACGATCAGATCAGGTTGAATGGCATATCTGTCATCTCAGACATGGATCATTTCTTTGTGTTGGAAAGTTTAGAATCCTCTCCACTAGCTCTTTTAAAATATTTAATGAATTGTCATAGTCTTCCCAGTGTGCTATTGAACATTAGAAGTTACTGCTCCAGTCCAGCCATACCCATGTGCCTGTTAACCAGTCTCTCACCTTGTTGTTGCTGAGGGCAAGGGGATTAAGCAGCGTGCTCAAGGTCAAGCCACAGTTTATCAGATGATAAGAAGAGGTTGCAGTTTTGCTGACTCCATTGCAAAGCTGGATTCCTGGTCTACTGCTGCACATGCTTGCCATAGCTGCTGTTACTGTCTTAAGAAGTATAATCACTGTAAGCCTCTGGGGAAGAGAGAAGGGAAGACATCAGATTTCTAAGCTGAATTTCAAATGCTTTTTGTTAAGTTACTTATAAGTAATATTTGCAACTCATTTTGGAAATATATGAAAACTCTTAAATTAGAGCTCACAAACATTTACATTGGTTGTTTGGACCAGGCATGCATACATGCCTTTTTTTATCTTCATAATACCAATCATATTCTGTTTGTTCAATTTACCTTTTGGTCTGCTGAGTTTTCTTTCTCTGAAAAAAGGCAATAATAATTAAATTGATTTAATATATTTATTAAACAATAGAAAATACTAAAAATTATATATATATATATATATATATATATATATATAATATTTTAGTATTTTCTATTGTATGTATGTGTGTGTATGAATATATATATATATATATATATATATCCCAGAATCAGATAAATCCTCCCACAAACTGCTCATTTGGTCTAGAGTCTAGCTTCACTGGGGAGTGGAAAAGGAAAACTGCCATGGTTTGTTGAAAGCGGCTCTTCTTGAATTCCCTTCTGAATTTTTATTTTTAGAACCACTACTGCAAAGAAGTACCCAAATTATACCATTTTTAGCATCCCATAGAAATGCTATCATTCAGTCAAAGAACACTTGTTTATTGCAGTATTTCCCAAGTAGGATAAGTGGTATGTCAGATGATTTGTCTGCATTTTCTCTAATCAGCAACGGGAACATCTGGTAGTATCATAATATGGCCCTTATTTAAGGATCTGTGGGATACATTCCTCCTTGGACGTAAAGTAAGGTACATATTCCTCCAGATAAACTCATCTGGTTCCATCCAACAGACAATAAGAACTTTAAAACCTTTTCCTGTCTTTGCTTCCCCTTTTCTTGACTGCCAGGACATTCAGGACTAAATTGATCAATTACAAAATTCGAATTTTTCTTATTGGATATTTTCTGATTTGCGTATCCTTTTGTGATTTTTTTAAAAAAGTTGTGCAATAATACTTGCTGAATTTACTTTTGTTCACAAAGTTTAGCAATGTATAATAAAACACAAATAGGACTGAGGATGTAGCACAGTCCACTTGCTTAGCATGTACTAAGTCCTGGGTTCAATGTGCAGCACTGAAAAACAAAAACACAAATACAAATAATATCCATTGCGGTGCCATCCCAAGATAACTGGTCTATATATTATTTCTAGACTTTCCCCTATTTCTATAAGAAGTATGTTTATGTATAAATCAATGTCCTAGTATATGTGTCTTACAAACTGCTTTTTCATTTAGCTGTATGTCATGATCATCTTTCTGTGCTGCCAAATACAGATCTATTTTAAAGCAACTTTTAATGGTTGTATAGTTTTCTATTACGTGGGTGTACACATCATAAATTTATTGACCAAGGCCCTTATTAGTATCTGTAGATTGTTTTTATTTAACTGTTTCATTTGTGTCTTTCTAAATTTTAGGACCGACCCCTAAAATTATCTTTTAAAATGCACGGGTAGAATGAATGAATGAATGAATAAAATCCCAGGAATAACCTGAATGTCTGTAACTATAATTTGCCTGCATTAGCATTATCATGTATTTTTCACAGTGGTGCTGCTAATTCTGGAGCTATTTTTTTTTTTTTTTTTCTCTCTTTCACTAGGTCTCAACCAAAATGAGTGAGACTCCTTCCACTGGTTTTTCCATGATTCATCCGAGTTCTTCTGAAGGTCAAGTTCGTTCTCCTCGCCACTTACGCATCACTCATCCTGTTGTGGCCAAACGGATCAGCTTCTATAAGAGCGGAGACCCCCAATTCGGCGGAGTCAGAGTGGTGGTCAACCCTCGTTCCTTTAAGAGCTTTGATGCTTTGCTGGACAACTTGTCCAGGAAGGTGCCCCTGCCTTTCGGGGTGAGGAACATCAGCACGCCCCAGGGAAGGCACAGCATCACGAGGCTGGAGGAACTGGAGGACGGTGAGTCCTACCTGTGCTCCCACAGTAGGAAGGTGCAGCCTGTGGACCTGGACAAGGCTCGCCAGCGCCCCCGGCCGTGGCTCAGCAGCCACGCCCCCGGCGCGCAGGCACAGGGTCGCCCTGTCGTGGCCGCGGCTCCGGGCTTGCTGCGCGCCCCCAGGCGCCTCGTGGTTTTCCGGAATGGCGATCCAAAGACGAGGTGCGCGGTCCTTCTGAGCAGGAGGGTCACACAGAGCTTCGAGGCCTTTCTGCAGCACCTGACAGTGGTCATGAAGTACCCGGTAGCCAAGCTGTATGCCACGGATGGAAGGAAGGTGAGCGTCCAGGCTGGGGGTCTCCACGAGGCTTGAGCATGCATCAGGAGCCTGCGAGGGTTTGAGCTGAAAATGCATGGCAGCCCTCTGCAAAGAAGGCCTCGCTCTTGTGTGTGTGTGTATGTGTGTGTGTGTGTGTGTGTGTGTGTGTGTTTAAATTCTGTGCTTTTGCGGATGGTGTCTTTGCTTTCTCCTCAGAATCTGCAGAGGCATTGGGCACGAGGTTCTCTTTTTACTCCCTGCGTTCCTTGAGTCCCTTCCTTGAGTTATAATGCTGTGGCACAGAATCAAATATTGATAATTCTTGGATGAGATTGGCATGGATAGTGTTCTTCTAGCTAGGGAAAGCATTTTTTTTTTTTCTGTTTGCGGTCAGCAGCAGACAGCATGTCCACAAGAGGTCACTTTCCTGACCAGCTATGTCCACCAGAACCTTTCCCAGCTTGCCCTGCAGCTGCAGACTTTGGTGTGGAGTGACATACACATTTTAAAGAATTTTTTTTAATTATGCCAGAAGACCAGCCTGACTTTTCAGTTAACATGTAGGCTTAATAGACTTCTTGGGTCTGTATTAGTCACCCCTACCCTCAGTGTTCTGTATTTCCAGTTATTTTATATACATCATTTTACATCATTTTTTTTGCTTAAGAAAATGCTTAATGTTGTCTTTCAAACTTGAGTTTATTGAATTGATTTCAAGTTATAAAATTATTTCATGGAAAGAAGAAAACCTGCTTGTGTAAGGACCATGACTCTGTTTTTTCTAGGTTCCCAGTCTCCAGGCAGTGATCCTGAGCTCTGGAGCTGTGGTGGCAGCAGGAAGGGAGCCGTTTAAACCAGGGAATTATGACATCCAAAAGTACTTGCTTCCTGCTAGATTACCAGGAATCTCCCATCGTGTGCATCGGAAGGGAAATGCTAAATCAGAAAGCAGAAAGAGTAAGTCATTTACCCATAATAGGCCTTATTTTCAGTCCTGACAACTTTTGTCTCAAGAGCAAAAAGAGTCATGCTTACTAAATGACCAACTTCATTTATAACAGTAAATAAAACATGAGAGGATTAAAACCACTCTAAAATGAAATTGGTTTTATTTTTAGTTGGAAAGAGTACAGAGATTATCTGGTAATTTAAAAAAGACTTTTCCAAATCGATGATATATCTGTGTAAATCGATGAAGTATGCTTAATTTGTTTTATATTTTTGCATAAAGTACCTAGTTATGTCAAAATATCAGACTTTATTGCTCTAGAAATGAATTTTGCGGAATTTGTGTAACATTTCTGGTATTTGCTGAGTTTTCCCTAAATGGTCTCATGCAGCTTTCATAGCAGAGTTTAGCAGGTTAGTGCAGTGACTATATTTTTTTCTAATCTATCTGTATGTTCTACCTTCTGGAATTATACCTGTAAAAACTATAGGTCTTTAGAACCACTTTTTATTTATTACAAAAGTTTCATGCTGCCAAATCATTCTGGTTGACAGTAATCTGGGTTAATTCCTTAGGATCTTTTGCATGGTGTGACATTATCCTTTGTATAGGAAAGAAGTAGGACCTCTTAAGGCTCAGGGGTGTCAGGTACATTAATCTCTTTCTTCATTGTGCTCAGTATATCCAGGGAAACTTTAGCTCTATGCTAATATATTTATTGCCATTTATACTTTGATTTTAATTTTCATTCCTTTTAGATGTAAAATAAGACATACTATGCATTTTAAGAGGTACAAATCCCTCTACTTACTTCTAATGTGGGGAAAACTCATTTATTGTCATTTAATCATTTCATGGGTATCATATCTTATCAATGAAAGAATTGATAAGCAATTATTGATAAGCTTACAGTTACCAATAGTAATTGTTAATGCTTCTTTTTTGTAAGCATTATGCTGCCAGAAATGTTATGTATATTGTAGTACTATTCCACCTTGGTCATTTTACTGATGTAGTTTTGTTATTTTGTGTCTGATATTGGCCGCTGATTATGATTTTTAATTTTTGATGACTTCAGGGAATCTGAGGGCTTTGCTATATTTCACTTCAAAAAATTAATAGACATTTTCATTTATGAATTCAGTAAAAGTATATCAAAAATAAAAATATTTTTGGATTTATACTCTGAAACATTAAAGGTGAATACTTGGTGGTGTTCTATATTCTATAAGCATGTGCACATAGATATAGACTACTAATAGGAATTTGATTGCATTGAAGAAGCAGGAGCACTAAGGTTAATTATAAAAATACGCTTTAAAAATAATATCATGACTGATGTGATTCTACAAAATGTACAATCAGAAAAATGAGAAATTATACCCCACTTACGTATACTATATACAGCATTCTACTATCATATATAACTAATTAAAACAAGTAAAAAAATAATATTGGATCTGTGTCTTACTGTTCTTTTTTTGTACCATGTAGTAAATCAACTGCAATTATTATACAAAGTGAATACTAAATTTATTATTTGATTAATCCAGTCTTAAATGCTAAGAATGTTTTTTGCCTTCATAAAGCTATAGGTGTCTGTCTTGCATACACACAGGTAGGTTACTGCTGTTACTTGTTTAAATTGATAAGAAATTCTTGATAAGCTGACAGTTTTACTACCTGTAAAACCACAAAAGCCCTTCATTTCAATAGAGTTCTTAGTAATTTCTACTTTATTAAAATTATCTCATAAATTTGTTTAAATTAAAACTATGTGAATCTTCTCATTGAAGTAGATTTACAAGTTTCTTTTAAGAGTAATTTAAAGAAATGTCTGAGATATTACATTGTTTTTTCAAATAATCATTGAACATAGAGATTAGAAACATATCAGTAATATTTTACTGTGAAATACAGAAAATATGGTATTTTTGTACTAATATTTTCCTTTTTCTTCTTCTTTTCTTTGCTGCCTCTTCCATTGGATATTATAACTTCTCTACTTTCCATGTTATATTTTGATGTGGGCATCTTTTACTCTTAAAATCTTGAAAGTGAGCACACATATGTCTTCGATCCCAAGATCCCAGATTTATTCTGTTTCTTCTGACAAAACACATACTATTGATTGCTGCTCAGACTATTCTTTTGCTCCTGAAAACTACTTGGCCTTAGAAAAACATGGTCCTCAGAACTTATCAATATATCCTTCTGAAGACGATATTGAGAAATCAATTATTTTTAATCAAGATGGTACTATGACGGTTGAGATGAAAGTTCGATTCAAGATAAAAGAAGAAACCATTAAGTGGATAACCACTGTCAATACACCTGGTCTTTCTAATAATGATGAAAAGAGTGAGATAGGTTGTTTTCCTGGAAGAACAGATGCTCCATCACCTAGTTTCAAGTTTGCAGCATGTTCAATGTCTGCAGATGCTAAAGGCAATAATCAAGAGGCCAGTTTAGCAGAAGAAATAAACACTCAAATGACAGTTCAAGAGGCTGAAACTTGCAGTTTTGCTAGTTGGGAGAATGCTGCTTTGGACACAGGTAACATCCACGGAACTCAGAATCAAGTGAAGCATCGTTTTTATAGACCACCTACACCTGGACCAAGGAGAGCAAGACAAAAGAAATCAGTAATGGGGAGTGTGACCCTAGTATCTGAAACAGAAGTTCAAGAGAAACAGTTTTCCTATAGTGAAGAAAGGGAAGGTGGGAAAAACAAATCTGAATATCACATGTTCACACATTCTTGCAGTAAAATGTCATCCGTATCCAACAAACCAGTATTTGTTCAGAACAATCAGAATGAGCAGAAGGAGTCATCTTTAGAAAGAAAAAAGGAAAGTAGACTCCCCAAATCAAGAGCGATACGTGCTGGTGTTATAGAAATTACAGGTCAGAAGATGGTAAAGATGTCCCATAATAGTGGCTTATCATCAGCTACATCAGAGAACTCCACTGTGGAAGAAAGTACAGTTAATAGTGTAATATCAGACAACAAAACTGATATCAAGAACTTCAGAACTTACAATAGCACCAGTGATACGTTCAGTCCCATTTCAGCAGATGTAACGAGCTCTACAAGTAACAATTCTGGGACTGACAAAAGTATTTCTGAGGCCACGGTTTCCATAGGGTCTTCTACTGTCACCACAAGAATTGACAGATTAACTGATGAATTTTCTCAGCGTGGTTTAACAGAACTGCCAGAAAATAAAAAGCAGACTGTATTACCTGTTTCCCGAAAAAAGAAGAAGAAAGTTCAGCCGCAAGTAATAAATTCCAGGTATCAAGATGGGGTAATTGCAACCAAAGAAATCTCCAAAAAGAGTAAGAGAATAAATACAGAAGATAGAATTTCAGAGGCCACCGTGTTGAAAGGTCCACACAGTCCCCTTAAAGGAGGGACACTTTGTGAGGAAGATCCCCATACAAGTGATATGGTAATCAAATCAAATCATTTTTATTCCAAAAGTATTCTCCATCCCGCTATTTCTAAGAATTTCCATAGAAATAAATTAAATACTATTCAAAACCCTAAGGTTCAAGGACTTTTAATCAAAAGAAAATCCAGGCTACTAAAGAGATCAAGTTTAGGAACACCTAAAAAAAGAGAATTTGGTCAGGGAGATAAAGTACTATCCCATAACGAATCTAAATATTACAAAAGCACTTTAAAAAATCAAAGTTCATTTCATGTGTTTAATCACACTGAACAAACATCAAAAGTTTTTTGTGATCCAGAGTCTCAAGCAGAAATAGCATCTGGGAATTTGAGAGGAATGGCCAAAAAGAGTTTATTTCCAAAAATTAATGATTCACACATAATTCCAAAAAGCCCCCCCAAACGAAAAGGTGTTAAATTGAAATCAGGTGCTATTGTAAATAAGCACCATGCTAGAGCTAGGACCAATTCTTTAGCTTCTTTGAAAAAAGCTGATTTCCTTGAGGATATTGCCCATAATTCGGTTCATAATTATATACAGAGATGGTTGCAGAACATAAATCCATATCCAACTTTAGAACCTGGAATATCAGCTCCACTATGCAAAAATGAAAGGAGAGTGGTAAATTATAATCATGGCGGTTCTCCAGGAAATCATCCCCACACAAATATTGCAAAAGGAAATGATTTTGTCCTGCAAAGTAGTAAGCACATGACTAAAAATGCCAGTTTGACAGGAGATAATCTCTGTAAAGAGGCAGGTGAATCTCCTATTGCCAAAGATGATGGTGAAGAACCTAAAGATCTAGATGAGAGTCAGGTTGGATCTGTGAATGGCGCCCACTTGGTTTCACTGCACGAATATGGTACATTGTCACAACCAGCTGTTAATGACCCTAAGACTAAAAGCCAGATATCTGCTGAAAAGTCAGGACCAGAAATGAGCCTTGTTTACCAGGGAATAAACCTAGCTAAGAAAGCACAAAGTGTAGAGGTTGCCATTCAAGTAGATCCTATGGAAGAGAGCACTCCCAAAGACCTCTTATCAGTCCTGTTGCTTCGCCAATTTCAAGCTCCAGTTGCGGGTGTCCACAAGCCTCAGAATGGAGTTGTTCAGATGCCAGGTTCACTTGCAGATGTTTCTTTCCCTTCTTCCCTGTGTAATTCATCCACTAATCTTCTTCTAGCTTGGCTGTTGGTGCTAAACCTAAAGGGAGGTATCACTAGCTTCTGTCAAGGTGATGCTCACAAGATCACCAGCAGATCTTCAGAGACACTTGCCTTGTTGGAAGTTCTAAAGCACGTTGCTGTCACAGAGGAAGCTGATGACTTGAAGGCTGCGGTTGCCAATTTAGTGGAAGCAACCAGACGTTGCCCTGGACCCAGCGAGGAAGAACAGGGTAGGGTTCCCGTAGGTCTGCCTGCCAATTGTGTCGCAGCCAACATTCAGAGAGTTTCTGACTGCAGTGGAAATGAAAGAACCCTGAAAATCTCTTTGGAGAGAGATTTTCAGGGTTCTACCAATGAGGTCTGTGATTCTGAGGTCTGTGTTCCAGAAACGACTTGCTCTCCGTGTGCAGTGTGCACTGTGGATGACACTTACCCTCCTGCAGAAATATATCACCCCAGCGAAGCTATTTCCCCTAGTGATGGTGGTGTTGGGGATCAGACCTCCTTGAGTAAACCTTGTTTCCTAGGACAGATTTGTGCGCTTCCTGATGCTGAGTTTTCCCAGGAAGCTTATGCTGAAGAGGAAAATATCTATGAGGCAGCTTGCCCAACTGATGAGACCCACATTCCCACCAGAGTCTTCAATACTATTGACATTTTAGACTCCCAAGAAAACAAATATATTGATTCATTGGAATTAAGTGAAGAGTTGAGAAGAGTTGATGAAGTTGAGGAAGACCTACATGTTTTGGCAGACTCTGAGTATAATAGTGGCTTTAATACATCAGCGTCACTTCGGGATGTCAGTAATTTAAGCCCCTGTGGCCTTTTCTCGAGTAAAACTGATCTAGAGTTTGATAAGCAACCGAGTTCTTCAGATGAATTTGAAAATTGTTCACTAAAGAAATTTCAGGATAAAAATACCTACACTTCCTTTGATAAGGAAGACTCAAGAACTTCTGAAGAACCGGGTTCAGTCACCAACAGCATGACATCAAGTGAAGGAAATAATGTCTCGGAATTGGAGTCATTTGAAGAATTAGAAAACCAAGACACTGGTATCTTTAATACCAAGGTAAATACAGAAGAGAAAACCACTGAAGAATCCATCCCAAAAGAGATAGAGGCTGGTGGAAATTTGCAATCCATCGTCATGTCTAGTAGGAGTATTATAGAAGAAGAAAGAAGGAATGGTGTAATTTCTGAGACCACCAATATGAGGCAGGTGACACCTCCATCTTTGGTGTTTTGTTATGACTCTAAGCAAAATACTGAAAAGGAGATTAGTGAAGGAGATGCTAAGAGGAGAGCTAAAATGATGGTGAGGCGCATAGAAGCTGGAAGTTATTCAGAGTCCTCTCTTGATTTTAAAAAATGCTTCAAAAGCCCGGCAACTTCTGACTGGTCAGACTATAGGCCAGACAGCGAAAGCGAGCAGCCACATAAAACATCCAGCGATGACCACAATGACAGTGATGACACTGCCCAAGAGAAAGAATATAATAAAGGGTTTGTTAAAAGGGCCATAGAAAAACTTTATGGGAAGGCAGAGAGTATGAAACCATCTTTTTTTCCAGGGTCTTTGCACAGATCTCAAGTTTCTCCTTACAATTCTGTGGAGTTTCAGTGTGCAAGGAAAGCAAATTCTTGTGTTTCTGAAGGTCGGTCATTTGGCTTCTCTGAACAGGTGTCTAGTAGTTCCCCGATGTTGCAGGAATTCCAGGAGGAAAGACAAGGTCAACGTGATGTTAATGGTGTGGGGGACAGTTATCACGAGGCCGACATGGCAGACCATGGTACTATAAAACAAAATGATCCCAACAGGGTCCTCAGAGACAAAGAGGAAGGAAAACTGATTGACAAAGGCAAGTGGCTTCTGAAAGAAAATCATCTGCTAAGGGTGTCATCTGAAAATCCTGGCATGTATGGCAATGCAGACACTACATCAGTCGATACCCTCCTCGATAATAACAGCAACGAGGTGCCATATTCACATTTTGGAAATTTGATCCTGGGCCCAAACATGACTGAATTATCCTCTTCAGAGCTGGAGGAGCTCACTCAACCTCTTGAACTGAGATGCAATTACTTTAATTTGCCTCATGGGAGCGACTCTGAACCCTTCGGTGAGGATTTTGCAGATGTTGAGAATAACACCTGTGCCAAGGAGAGACTACCAGATCGCACAGAAGAGAAGGGTAATCGTCAATCAGAAAGAGTATGCACGTCGGTCACTCATGCCTTTACATCTTCTAGTAACAAAGTTCACCCTGTCTCTGATGAGATCATTAAAACCCAACCATTACCTGGCAGTTCTGTAACTCACAGTACACTTCAGGAAGGTGACTCTTTGGATAAACTCTACGCTCTTTGTGGTCAACACTGCCCCATACTAACTGTCATCATCCAACCTTTAAATGAGGAAGAGCGAAGATTTGCTTATCGCAAAGATTCTGATATTGAAAATTCCTGGGGTTTCCATTTAGGGATGAAAATATACCCCTATTGGCCACAGTCAAACAAAAACACATTTAAGAATCAGGATAATCATTCAATTAGGAGAAAAGAATTTGTTGATAACACTATTGACGATCCATTTGATAGGCTTTATTTCAATAAAATGTTTGACTTGATGGATAAAAGAAGGAAACCAAAAAGAATTAAGTTCTTGGGCTTAGAGGAAGAAAGTAATTTAAAGAAATTTCAATTATATTTAAAGAAAAGGTTTTGTGTTAATTTCTTGCACAAATCATTGTTAGTTGTGGGTGACGTGAATTCAGAAAAACAAAACCCCAGCAACTGGACAAATGGTGTTTTTAAAACAGTTGATGAGAATAACAACTTATTAAATGACAGATTTCAGAACTCAAGAACAAATCTCAACCAAGTAGTAAGAGAAAATGTCAACTGTCATTTCTTCTTTGAAATGCTTTGTCAAACCTGCCTGCTAGATATTTGCCAAGTTGAGACATCCTTAAATGTTATTAATAGAAATATATTTAAAATACATTATATTTTTGAGGGTGAAAATCTTTTCATTTGGGAAGAGGAAAACCAATTAAATTTAATTGATCTTGAAAGCAGTAATAGGCAAGATGATTTATAATTTGTAATATCAGCACCACCTTTCTTTGTTAATTATTTTTTTTCCAAAATAAGATGAAACATTGGGATGGACATATAGATGACCTCTAAGTAAATTTCCTACTCTTTAAAAATGAGCTTACCCTAGAAATCTTACCCTTGGATGAACTGATTTGACTTTTATTATTACTCTGTTCTTTTGTTTTTTCAGCATTTACAGATTTTATGTGGTTTTGTTCTGAATTTGTGATTTCTTGTATACATGAATTTTTGTCTAGGGCGTCAAAAATATGCCTAGGACAAGAATTATGTCTTTTTATATTGTTGGCTTTATATAACATGTTTATTGAATATATTCTTAAATAAATGGAATAGACATAGACTTAAAGTGCTTCGTTTATTAATTTTAATTACTGATCTGATAAAATGTATAATTAAAAGACCTTCATCACAATGTCCTAGTTCTTGTGCCAAATATATTGAGTCCTGGACCATCAGAACATCTATGTCCATGGGACACGATTCACCATTTTCTCACTGAAAAAAGGTGCTCTACCACTAAGTTGCTAGAAAGTACTAGAAAGTACTAAAAGTACTAGAAAGTACTTTTCCTAGAAATTATAATATTTTAAATAGTATTAAAAGCCAAAAAATATGAAGGGATCAGAAAAAGTGGAGACAAAAATCATAAGACATTCTTTGGGAAGGAAAATTAAAGGAGCTGGAATGATTTAATCTGGAAAAGAATGGTGACTTCAACATTCTCTTCTGGAAAGAGAATTGCCGTGAAGAATTTGACAGACTTCTTTGTGTCTTTTCCTGCTTTAATGAAATATTAATTTGATAGAAATAAAAACATATTGCTTCCCAGAAGTATAAATAAGCTGGACTAGATTATAGACCATAAATTATTTTGCATAATTGTATTATGTTGCCTGGGTGTTAATCAGGACAACTTCTGAGAATCCTTCCACTCCATGGTTCTAGGATGGTATAACAGGTCTTACAGATTTGAAAATCTGTGCCTGTTGTCTAGAATGGACTTAGAGTAGAACTTTACTAATGTTCTTGGAGCAACACGCGGAGGTGCTGAAATAACAAATTTGGTTTTGAGGGATGAAAAGTAATTAATTACATCAAGAATTACTTTTGTTTCAGTTCAGCATGAGTCATAAATCCATAAAAAATTTGTGAATTGCTACTTTGCCAGCTGAAGACTACCTCTACATAGAGTATGCTTTTTCTACATTAAGTGATACCTTCTTTTAGTCAAAATATGGAAGTTATAACGTGTAAGTTTCTGTAGTGATCAGTGGGAAATTGTAAAATAAAAGGGCATAAGTTTTTGAGAAATAATAGGGGAGAAGAATTAACATTAATTTAGTGCCCATAGTATACTAGGATTATGATAGATTTACAGGTTTGTTATAAGTGATCTTTTCTCATAAAGATGTAAATTTGACTTAATGACTCCATTTCTAAAATTATGTAATAGAAATTGCGAATAGAGAAGTAGATGACTTTCATCACTGATATATAGTACATATCATGGCAGGATTAGAACCTAGTCTTTTGTGTTTGAAAATCTGCTCTTTTTACTTTGTATTTTTTTTTTTCACAAGAGGAAGAACAGTTATAGTGTTTAAAAAATGTAGTCTTCATTTCTTAGTGCAGATAGACAGGAAATGACTTTTTAATTTGGAAAGAGTGTGGTATTTAGGTACACTAAGAAGTCTTGGGAAATAATACCCAAGAGATTTAGAAATTTAAGTTATACAGCATATGATTTTTGGTACCAATACCACATTAAACAATGTCCTGTGTGGCCCAGGTAATATTGGGAAAAATAAACTGAAGTTATAATTGTGAATTAGTAATGCACACTCTGTGATCTACTTCTTACTTAAAGGAACATGGTCATATGCATTGGATTTTGAGATCTAGGGCTATATCTTATAACTCCCAGAACCAGAATATTTAAAATTTTTTTAATAGTTGTAGGAGGACAGAATGCCTTTATTTTATTTGTTTATTTTTATGTGGTGCTGAGATTGAACCCAGTGCCTGGGAAAGCATTCTGCCACTCAGATCCAGCCCCCAGAACTAGAATATTATTGGAACATCATAAGCACCTAGTAATTGTGTGTTACAAGGATGAGAAGTGTTTTTGAAGTCACTTATTCTTTACCTATTATTAATTTCAGATCCATATTTGTAGAAGACTATGCAAATATGCTGAGGGATCGCACTATTTCTGTATTTTATGAAGCAAGATTTAAGTCATCTTTAAAAATGTGAAGTTTTTTTCCTATAAAACATTCATCAAAGGATGTTTTTATTTTCATAAATCTTGCATTAAAGAACTTTTGTACCTGAAATTTAGCATGTAAGTGAAACTTTAGAGGGAATTTAAGAATTTTATATAAATCTCCCTTTTACTTTAGAGTAAAATACCTGAATGGCTAAGAAATGGAGTCCAGCTTCTTTTTTCAAAAACATTTTTATTCATTGTTGATGAATTTTAAAATTTTATTTATTGATTGATATGGTGCTGAGAATCAAACCCTTTGCCTCACACATGCTAGGCAAGCACTCTACATGCTAGGCAAGCACTCTACCACTGAACCACAACCCCAACTCGGAGTCCACCTTCTTGTACCCAGAGGAATACAATGCTCCTCAACTTCCAATGGAGTTACATCCTGATAAACCAATCTCCTGCAGATACCAAGGCATGAATGTATACCTGAGTTCAGGTTTTCTGGTCGCAGTGTGGCAAGGTGAAATTTTGTTTATGTCCACCAGATGGCGGCGGTGCAATGCACTGTGCGATGTTCAGGCACCTTCAGAAGGACGCTTTTGTGGTCCAAGGGAGTACTGTCAACATTAGCTGCAAGGAGTTGAAGTTCAGAAGTAGAGGGTTGTAATGAAAAATCATTTGTAAGAGTTGATCTCAAGGAAAATCCAATTTGGGGAGGGTAGGGGACATTTAATAAAACACCTAACCCAAGTTGAAGGTAAGTTAATGAGTAATTATCTTAGTGGGTAAGAGTAGTTCCCCCCCCCCCCCCTCAGGATGAGAGGTACAGGGGATTGACCACTGAGCCACATTCTCAGCCCTATTTTGTATTTTATTTAGAGATAGGGTGTCACTTATTTAGAGTTGCTTAAGGCCATGCTAAATTGCTGAGGCTGGCTTTGACCTCATGATCCTTCTGTCTCGGCCTCCCAAGCTGCTAGGAGTGCGCCACTCCCAGCCAGGTGGGGGTAGTTTTTTACATGATTGTTTTAAAAATAGTTTACCTCTTAACTTTCCAGTGACACAAAACATATACACCATTTTCAAGGTTTGAACTTAAATACTGAAATCACATTTCATTTTCTGGAACTCTTTTTGTTGATTTCTTCATCTATAAAATGGGGCTGCTATTTAAAAGTCCTTATGAGGAGATTATCTTGTAAGTTTATTATGAGAAGATAACTAGAGATGCTCTAAGAGCTCTCAGCATAGATCATGGCCTCCAGTGCTGAACACATTTTGGCTATTAAAAAAACAAAACAAAACAAAACATCAGTGTTAGTACTTTTGATAAACTTTTTAAAAGTTGGTGTTCTTCCAATCAAGAAGTATTTCTCTGTGTTGGGTGTTAGGATATCTAAAACAAATAAATAAATAACATTTATTCATGTTTTGACCCTTTATAAGGTAAAGGTGACTAAAATTTTGAGCCCTGTTTGGTGTCAAGTATTGTTTTAGGTTCTTTATGCTGATTGGTCAACCCGCATAATAATGTCCTCAGATGGTAATTGTATCTTTAATAGCCAAAGGGGGACTAACTCTCACAGAGATAGACCAGTAAAGAAGCACTTCTACTTTCATGTGTGTATTTCTTCCAAATTGTCCTGTGTTTTGTGGTTTGATCCTTTGTGTATAGGTTTCTCTGAAAACCTAGTTATCTTTTATTCCCTGTTTTTTTTGAGGCTTCAAGGGATCCCATAACTCCTCAGGGTAGCATAGTGATGAGACTCAGTTCTCTGCTTCTGCAGGAGGGTGGGGTCTGTTTCAGCTGTAGGTCTCTGCAGCTGAGGAAGCCCATTTTAGTGTTAGCAGATAGTCAAGGCAGGGAATGCCTGCCAGCATAGCTCTGAGAGTTGTAGCTGACAAAGCTGAATTCTTCTCTAGTACTATCAAGTGCACCTTGTAGCTCTTAATGGTGGGTCGTGCCCTCCAGTGTCATAGCAATTCACTGCGGACTTCTTTTTGGGTTGGGCCACTTCTTTCCTTGTTCTTATCTCATAAATCCACAAGAATGAAATTCACAGACAATGGAAGGCAAGAGTAGGATTTATTCAAGTGGGAAGAAAAGAGAACTCTTGCAGGGTGAGAGGGGACCTGAGAGCAGATTGCCACTAGACTTGGGTCAAAGTTACTGGTCCAAATTTATGCTAATCGGGGTTTGGAAAAGTGCCAATGCTATTGCTTAGCCCTGCAGTTTCCATTAGGGTCTGTCCCACTTCTGTTTTCCTGCCTCTCAATGGAAAAGTGGGAAGTTGAGGTTGCTGGAATGTGGACGCTGGGGTTTGGGGCTTCAGTGCTGTGTGGAATGGGTACCTGCACTGAGCCTGGGTGTGACAGGTCTGGCTTGCCTCATTCCTGGCTTATTGCACCTCAGGCCCACACTGGCCTGGTGGGCTCCAGGGGAGATGAGTGGACTGGCTGCTAATTGGTGGGGATTAGTGAGCTGGCGGTGCAGCTCAGCCACTGGGGAGCCATGTCAATAAGTCAAAGTTATTTTAATCCAAAGTAGAGTACTTTCCCTATTGTTATACTCTCTCATCTATTAAAGCATTAAAGGATAATTTTAAAACAAAATCATGAGTCACATATAGATAAAACACGAACATGTGCCAAGAACTTTGTTTAACTTATGAAGAGGGAACCATTTGCATATTACAGTGGTTTCAAAGGAGAATTTAAAGTATCACAAAAAATAGGCAGCTAAGGAATGCTGACATGAATATAGGTCTGTCTAGGACAATAATTAACTGCATCCCACTGGTCATAACTAATTTATACTTTTATGGACCAGAATAATTTGCATCATGACCTGCTTTTTTTTTTTTTACAACTTACAGGATTGTAAGTTGATTTAAAAAATAATGAAAAGAAGAGATAACCCTTAAGAGGATGTTGGACAAGACATAGTCCCCTACCTTTTTTGTTCACTTGATGAAGTTTCACAATTTTTTCTTTCATAATTTTTATCCTTCAGTGGCTTAAGTGCTAAGTTATTAAAGGAATATTCCCAGGTCATAGTAAACAATGTATGATTGGAAAAGGTTACTAGAATTAAATAACAAAACAACAAATTTTCAAACAGGGACAAGTCTTAGAATGTTTGATGGATTACAGCATATTTTTTCATTCTGTTTTTAGGATAATAAACAATATACAGACTTTAGATGCAATATATAATGACTGATTTTAAACAACTGGGATTCTTCCATGTGCACATCAGCCTTTTCTCTACACATAGCTATTTCTGTACCTGATGAATATTTACTTCCTGATTCGTGAACAGAGATCATCAGAACAATAATAGCACTACAAAAAACAACAAAAGGCAACAGATGAAAATCATTTTGTTGTTTTTCCTCCTCTTGAGAATAGTTCTTATCTTTTGTAACACCAATGTTGAGGAATAGCTGAAGTCTATAGAATACCAACTAAGTAAGACTGCTTAAAGTTCAGGTAAATCCATAAAACTAAGTAACCTAAAATGGAACATTAGGTTCATAGGAAGACAAGAGTTATACATCATAGGGTTTCATTGTATTAGTGCTGAAAGTGGTTATTAGTGAGAAATGAATGACATTGAATACAATAGCTATATTTATAGGTATGAGTATTCGTATATACGTGTATTATTATAGTACTAAATTTGTTTAATATAGTTAGTTGCTGCCTCAGCTTCCGTTTTAGACTTGAAATACATTATTTGAAGCTCAGTCTTTTTTTTCCTCCCAGCACTTGAAATTGAACCCAGGGCCACTCTACCACTGAGCTACATCCCTAACCCTTTTTATTTTTTATTTTGAGACAGGGTCTGGGT